CTTGACACTGAGTGGGAGGTGGGTTAATAGGAAAAAGCTGACACATTTAAAAAAAGATTAAATTACATTTTGCCGAAATAGCATATCGGATATGTGAAAAGGCAGTCTGTAGTATCAATCAGGGCGTTGTTCAGATAGAAGAAGTTTTGAACTACGAGTTGCGGAAGTCTTAATTGCCATCTTCTATTTATTTAGTTTGTTCAATTGAAGGACACAAATTCGGAAATCTTTTTCCGTGGACAAAAAACAAATACTATCTCCAATTTTCAATGAAATTTTTGAAATCGCAACTCATTATGTAAAAGTTATCCAATCAGTTCAGTCGTCAGTAGCTGGGTCCAAAAAAAACTGGAATATCACTGGTTAAGGGTAAATTTTTCAAGGTGTCACTTGCCCTCTCGTTTATTTTCTGTTTGTTTGGTGGTGTCCAGTCGCAACAATAGCTATTTAAAAAATTATTGTTGCGACTTTCGATACGAAAGTAACGGAATATTTGTGCTCGGGGGTGGGTTTTTTTTCTTCAGACAAATTTCGACTTTTTAACTAACCATTTTTGACGGAATTTTTTTATATCATTCAAAAGGTATTGTTGTCCTGAGCTTAAATTTGACAAGATATTTTACCTGTGATCATTTTTTGTAAAGTTATGGGGGTTTAAAGATTGCCAATTTGGCCATTTTGACCAATTTGGGGACAATTAACGCGCGATATAATTCGCGCTATTAACGCGTAAGCGGAGATTTAATCTGTCTTATAAATCGTTCCAAATTGGTTGAACGAAGCTTATTTGCCATAATTGATTTGTTACAAGGAAAAAAATCTCTCTTTTGTACTTTATATGGCGGTGTGGGGGGATGATTTTCCACAAAAAATTTCAAATTTTAGAAAAAATTTTCATTTTATTTTATTTTATTCTATTTTTTTTATGCTTTTACTGCTGCTCCATAAACCTTAAAAGGCAGTCGGAACATCCAGTGCTTCGCCCTGATACGAGCAGTCTTGTTTGCTTTGGTACTTTTCAACTCGTAAATCTTGACATTCAAGTAAACCTTGACAAAATTTCAAAATTAGGCATGGGATTTTACATGAACAAACAATTAAAATGCGTTAGAAATTCTAATTTTTCGGAAAATTCTAATTTAGGGATTCTAATTTTTGGGGTTGCGTAAGGATGTATTTTTCATGATAGAACATGTGAGTCACAATTTCTCCCGAAATTTCAATCACAAGCGGCAGTCATGCGAACTTACGAAACTTTTTATGTAACCTTACATAACAATTTTTTAGTGTATGCACCAAAACTATAGCTCAACAATGTTCCAAAATTGTACTCGACTATGTTTTGACTTTGCAATCAAATTAATGTGGGAAACGACTTGTGTTGAAAAATAAGGCTTATTTTTCAATTGGAATAAACGCAAATCACAACCAATTTTTGGTTTGAATTAGAATACGCAAATTTTGGTGGTCAATGGGTTGATAAAACTGACTAATTGAAAACCAATGGTTTAACTAAGGCGAATCAATTTCAAATAAAAATCTTTTGTACCGTGTATAATTAAAAAAATTGTACCAGCATAGCAAAAAAAATTGTAATCCAATCATATCTGGTTACAAGCAGCTAAAGAGGCTGATCATATCCGAGACTGCTAGTATTCATGATTGTTCTGACTGTTTTTTGATTTCTATTGATTAGAGCTCACTTTGAAAAACTGATGAAAAAATTGATAAACAATTGATGATTTTCCCCCATGCTGTGATATGTTTCGAATAAATCAAAGTACTAAATAGATCAAATAGCATGCCTCAATTCAATTTGAAACTATTTCTAAGACAAACATTCGATAATATCCCGAGCACAAACATTCAGTCAATTTCTTCGAAGGAGGGAGCAATAATTTTAAATTTTGTAATACTTTATGATCGAAGGAATCATAGTGAAACAAAAACCAAATTACAATAATTATATACATCAGAGTATTTTATAGCCAAAACAGACTGAATATTCCTCAAACAAATAGTGTGCTGACTTAGATTACCCTGACAAATTAAATAATACTTTCACTGCAGTTTTTTAAAATTGGATTGATTTTGGAAAAATTTTATACAGACAAACATAAAATTGCAGCAAAATTACTACTGTTTAAATTGATTAAATTAGTGATCAGCCCAATTGTTGAAAAAATTGACCATATACTAGTTAAAGATGCATATTAAGAATTTCGGTTATACAATGTGTTGAAACTTGTTATTTGACACGACTGACAATTATTAAGTCCAAGTCTTAAAATTTCGCATTTGTCTGAAATAATTTTAGCTTTAGTTCTTAAATTTCTACAGCAGAACATTTTGTATCGTTGCAATATACAAAACTGAGGAGTCCCAGAACAATTTATTACAACCGCGCCTTGCAAAATCCGAAAAAAATATGCGTTAACATTGGGAGTTTTTGAGCTGAATCCACGCAAACTTTGATAGTTTATTTCACTTACAATTAGGAACTTGCTTAAGGACTTGTTTCTAATGACGTAAACACACTATTCAGCGCACAGTTTGGCCTCATAATGAATCTGATATGAGGAGGATGAATTAAACCAAAAAAGAAGTACATGACATGAGTAGTCAGGTGCTGTGCGACTAGATCAGAAAATTAACACTGCAGTTCATGAAACACTTTTAAAAAGTAACTAATTTATTTTCTTTTTTGCCATTTTCTGTTTTTGTGTGTAGTTTGATGAGAGGAAAATGAACGCTGAAAAAAAACTAAAACTATCTAACTAATTATTGTTTGAATATGTATTCAAGAAATGAAAAAACATAGCAAAAAAGAACAAAAAATATAAAAAAAATTTTTGAGAAATTTTTTTTCTGGAAAGCAGTGAAAAAAGTTAAAAAATTTGTTTTTCTGGATTAAAATTAGGTGTATGTCAGCTTAAATAACTGACTTTTTGAACAAATTTTTTTCGCACGCTTCACCTCCTGGAAATAAGAGAAAAAAAATCTAGAGTTTGAAAGCAGTTTTCTCAAAAGTGCAATACCAAAAGTGCAAGCCATTGTTAACTGAAAAATAACTTACAAATTTTGATGCGTTAAATCACTCAATTTTTGATGACTTTTTGTTGCAGTTGAATTTGCCTAGAAAAAATAACAAAAAACACTCGGAGACAGAATTTTTTTTCGTTGTCAGTTGTTCGTTGCAAAAAAAAACGCTGAAACAGACATCTGAGACGCATTCCGAACAATATTTAGATTAGGGACTACATGATGATTCAAACTATCCAGAAATTTAAACGAACAAACTTGGAAAACTTAAACACGTTTTTAATCGAATTGGCTTGAGAATGGACAAAAAAAAGAGAATAAAAGTGGTTCGGAATTTTACATGAAATGTTCTTATGTCATTTGTTTATTTTAATAAATTCAATTCCCGAATACGCTCATAAATGAACAAATTTTAGCTTTTTAGTAAATCACCAATTACGCTACACTCGATGCGTCAATTGCTGAAATTTTTTTAAAAAGTGGGCCCCAAAAAATTGCGCAAACTGTTTGAAATTAGTTTTGAAAAAGTGGTATTTCATAAAATTGAAATGACATTTAGAAGTGTAAAAAAAATGAACTGATTTTA